TTTTTTAAGAAATGAAGCTTAGCGACAATAATCCAGAATAGTAATGATAATAAACAACCACCCTTATGGTTGGTTGCAAATGTAATGAGACAGCAGCAGATATTATTGTGTCTTTCACATAGCTGTGATGATAACACAATAACAATTTTGATGTTGACGTTACTATCGATCGCAACAGTAGCGAGATTGTATTGACAGGGATATTGCGATAACAAACTTACGAAAACGAGTGATACGGATAATAAGATGACAACAACATCGACTGGAATATAATTGCGTACCATCCATATCAATGTAGTGAGAATATTGCAGAAATTATCATTATTACAATCAGTTATTATAACAAGCGTATTGATAGCGTGGATAATAATGGTGATAAAAATCCAAAATGAAATTGATTCTGCCTACACACATTCACAATCCGCACTGACATGCACGTTATAGGTGCGTTCAGTCAGTACAAAAGCAGAACGAATATTACAGTCTTCGAGCGTGATCAATATGATCGATTCTAAAAGCATCATTTGAACAGCCAAGGTGGAATTGTGTAGTATGCAGAGTTGAGGGGATGTTGACTCTTGGATGGATGGTTGTTATTTGTTGGGTTGTTGTCACGACTCGAGTTGTTTTGCCGCAAATTACATCTCGAACTTGAATGCCGCACAAAAATCGTCACTGTCGGCGCTCGAAAGCCTTAGCGTACATCGTTCCACTGAACAACGCAGATTGATACCCGCTTCTTGCATTTCACCCGACTGAAATTAGAGAATCATTGGAAAGTTTTGCGGGTAAAATCGCATTTTGATACCGAAATCACTTCAGAAAAAATTCGAGACTTGGTCATCATTTCCTTCCGTGTTTGAACTGAAATCAACACATTTCGACTAAGTGTATGAGCCATACCTTGAGGTGATTGTACGCTCGTAAGTCATCACTCTCATGTGTTGGTACAACGTCGACTTCGGCATCTGAAAAAACCAAACAATGACTGCAAATTCTTCGTTCAGAAGAATCTTTCATACGGAATACCGGATGTGAAAAGTTAGAAGCATAAATTCTATGTGAAAAAACATGCAATCAGAAACCTGGT